TTACAGCTGCCACTTACTCTAAATGATTCAGGAAAAAAAAACAAAACAAAAACGTGTATGCGTGTGTCTGCACCCACACGCACTCGGATGCAAAGAAAGCATGGAAAAGCAAATTGGTAAAAAGGTTAACGTTTAGGGCATTTGGGCAACGGGACTACAGCATCTCTCCTCCAACCCTGCCGTTAGGAATGATTTCCAAAGAAATTTAAAAAACTCAAAAGGACCTCTGCACCCACTTTGCTAATTCGACCACCCTCGAACTCTCTCTCGACGAGCTGGTGACACCGTGAACGGAAGGACATCGGGGTGGCTGGGGCAATGAACGTGACCGCGTGTTCTCAGTGGGGCAGCCCCGCCAGCTGCTCTCGATGTGCTGGTCTCTTCGGCTCTTGCTGCAGGGCTGACGACATCCCAATGAAAGTTATTATAATTTTTTTTTTCTGTTGCTTTTTGATAAAATTACGAAAGTAATTTCCCCAGAGAGGCTACCCGTGAATGACAGGCCTATTTCAAAAGTGCTCTCCACTCATCTATCAACTCCGGAATGTTTATCTCGGTGTTAACCTTATAGATTAATTTCTCTCTCTCTCGTAAGCAGGTAAGCACAGCGAACGCGTTTGGCCTGCCCGTGAACTAGCAGTTCGGCCCCTCGGGGCCAATGGACAGAATTCGAAAATGAAGAATCAATTAATTCTCCACTGCCAATGTTTGTAGAAGCTGCTATTTGTCATGGGCAGGATGAATGGAAACTTGAAGGCTGTTCCTGGGCGCTTTATTCACATGAATAATGAATGAGGATAAAAGCCTGCGAAATTCAAAGTGACGTCAGATCAGAATATGGGGCTGTTTGGGGGTGTGCCGCTGTGGGCATACTGCAGGGACTAAAACTCGGGCCCCTTTTTTTTCAGGCGAAGCAGGAAGAAAGAGCTTCTTCTCCCTCGGTGAGTCCTCAGGGGTTTGGGTCAAGTCCTCGTTTACCTGATGCCTGGGGAAGCGGCCAGGACCCTCTCATTTCTCCCTCAGAAACTGAATATTGATCTTGTCAGGGGTGACTTAAAAATAAACTTAAAAATAAAACTGACACCCCCTTACATGGGATCTTCTGAGTATTCACGAGCCGCTTTTTGATGACTCGGGTTTTTCGTTCAGGACACCGGCCTCATGCTGAGCTGACGGTCCCCGTGTCTGTGGGGCAGAGGCTCCTCAGCGCTGTTTTCTTGAGGAGAAATGGAAAGCAGCTGGCTTTGTGCTTTTATTTTTCCACAAGGAAGGAGACTGACGTGGCTGCCTCTTCTCCAGGAGAGCACAGCATAGCTGTCTTTGTTTTTGCTTTTGTTTTCCAGAATAAACCAGCACACAGGGGTCACCCCGTCTTCTAGAAAGTCACCCTCGTCTGCACAGCTGCACATGGTGGGCCGTTCGGGGACACGGGACCCCACGCCTGTGGGCTTCTGTCCGGCAGGCACGCCCCTCCCCACTTCCACTTCTGAGGCCCCACATTCGCCGCCCTCCGGGGTGATGGCCACAGTCCCCACACCCGATTCTTCGGTCGCTCTCCTCTCTCCTCTAGGTGGGACCTGCACTGCAGGTCCCGACCTGAAGGTCGCTGTGGGATGGACAGTCCTGTGTGGAGCCTCTTGATGGAGCCGCCGCATCATGCAAGGTCTTTGGTGGCCGAAGTTCACATCCTCCGAGGCACTCCGGCACGGCTTCAGCGATGTCACTTCGGTAGGCAGGAAAATAAAAAAAGATGGGGTGCTATGGGAATCCCCACGCCTCCAGCTAAGCTCCGTGTCTGCCCAAGCCACAGAATCTCTCTACTCCCTTAGGGAAGTCAGTGATTTTGGAACACCCTTTTGTTGGGGGTTCCCCACCAAATTAAACATTAAAATGAAGATGAGAGTCCCGGCCTCACAAGCACAAACGTGATCCCCGGAAGCACCCTGCAGATAGCTGTGGGTACTTGAAGTCTTACTGCTGGTATTTACAAAAACCAAAGGCTTGATTTCCTGAGAGGCAGGAGCAAACGGTCCCTAATCCGATAAATCTCAGGGAGATTGATTCGCCAGCACTTGCTAAAAGAGCATCGAGCAAACTCCACCAGGACAGACAAGGCTGTAAACGCTGTTCAGAGGAGAGATGCTCTTTGAAATGGGTTCACTGCATACGTTAAGCAGAAGCTTCCGGCAGCAGTATGTTTGCCTTGTTTTCTCCGCGGCGATGGCTTGGCTGGAGTTGCCGCATCTTAGAAATAACAGAACTGCCTGGCAGAGAACATTCAGCTCTGTATTTTATCGGTAAACTCGTCTGACCTCCTAATGAGCTCTGGATCCGGGAGCCATACTTTTCACCGAGAAAGATGGGAAAACCACCTCACAGAATAACTTTCCCGCGCGGTTAGCTCTCTCCTCTGTGGCCGTGTGGACCCCGGTGTGTTCTGCCCTCCCGGGGACATCTGGACTTAGATGGCTTCCTTCTGTTGTCGCCGCGTGGTCTGTCTGCTCCAGCATGGCACCGCGAGAACAGGGCGATGCCCTGGAGGCAGCTGAAATGCTCCCTTCACCCGCGATTTAGAGCCGACTCTGATGCTGTGTGGGTGGCATGGCGCGGGGACGAGGGAAACGGAGCCCTGCCAGGGGCCAGGACTTTTCCTGATCTGTGTGTCTGCCCTTGACTCTCTTCTGCTGTGGGACTAAAAGTCTGCTGCTCACTCCTGCAAACCTCCGCTGCTGTTTCTACCTCCCTGCCGTGCCATCTCCTGTCCACTCCTGCGTTTCCAGATTCTTCCTCCAGCAGAATGTGGGCTTCCGGCTGGGACACCTCGCTGTGAGCAGACAGGTCTCTCCCTTCCTCAGCCCGGGCTCTGGCCAAACAGGCCTTTCGCACGAAACCTTCGGTTTTAGGGCCTTGGCCGTGATTCCTTCTGCCTTCTGTGAGTCCAGGGGCTGTGTCTTCACAGTCAGAGGCAATTTCCTGTTTCTTCTTATTTTAACCAGCACTCAGTTAAAAACCAAGCAAACGGCAGCACTCTGAGAACAAGTAAATAAACAAACACAGCTCATGGCTCAACTGCCTGACCTGTGTCTGTGTGACTCTGATTTTGTCATTGCGGTGCCCACAGGGGAAGACTTGGAGAAGTCACCGGTTTGCTTTCCCGACAACTGAGTTTAGGGTTGCAGCAGCCACAAAAAGTGGGAGACCATACGCACACGGACAACTGCTTCTGAAAGTGAGGTGGGAATGAAGAGAAAAAGATGTGATTTACGGTGACTTTGCCGTATCTCCTCTCTTTCTGGAAAGTGACAGACAAGTTTGCTCCACACATAAGAGCAGGGCCAGTGTGTGTCTCCATGCTGTTTCTGTAGAGACACTAAGCTGTGTGCAAGATGCTACTGTGGACCTTTCCTGTGTAATTTAAGAAGGCTAAAGAAATATAAGAGGAACAGGAAAATCCCTAATGTAACGTTCTACTGAGACCGTCTGTAGCATCATGTATTGTTCTGTGTTCACCCCGCCCCTCGAAACCGGGTTTTGCAAACTGCAAGGCGGGGATCGTATGAGAACCCCTGAAATCAGTGCCCAGGACTGGCTAAAGAAAAGGCAGGGAGGCAGAGACATAACGGCCCTGTTTGAAATGATGATTCGGGAGAAAGTCAACTGACCTGGTTCATTTTAGGTTTTCTTCAGTTCGTGCTAAAAATATCTTGGAGAAATAAAATCGATGGGCTCATCCCCCCCGCCCGCCGGTTTATTCTCAGAGCAGAGGACGCCTAAGCATATTTGATGAGGACGCTGCCGCCCTGAGAATAAAGCTCTGTGCCACGCAGCCAGTAACTCAGCCACCTGGGAGGGTCCCCTTTGCCTGCTCAGGGGGCGCCTGGCAGAGGAGACAGATTTAAGCTCAACCATCACAGCAGCTGTTTCTGGAACTGACCGTGCAATAAAACTGCCCTTTTGCAGCCTCGAGAGCTGAGGCACCATGACTGCCCAGCACTGGCCGAGATGGTGGCGGAGCTGGAGGCCCAGATCCACCTGGCCGTTAGAAATAGGGTGCAGGGAAAAGCAGATCCCTGGGAGGCACTGAGAAGTGGCAGGTGGCATGAATGAGGAGGCTGACGTCTTAAAGACTCGCAGTTTCTCTCCAGGGATATAAACATTCAGAAAGGCAAACGCAGGCTGCAACCAGCCGTCCGAGAGCTGGCGTATGGCTGGCTAGAGCACAGTGATGGTATGGTGCGTAAGGACACAGGTCTGGGGGCTGGAACACCAGAGTTTGCATCCTGGTCCCGCCAGTTACCAGCTGTGTGTCCGCAGGCGAGTCACTCAGCCTCTCTGTGCCTCAGCTTCTTCGACTGTAATCCGGGACAACAGTACCTACCTCGCAGGGTTGTGGGGGTTAAATAAGCTGATTGGCAAATCGCTGAGAACAGGGCCTGGTACGTAGTGTTTGTTAAATAAATGAAAAAAAGAAAAGGGAGCCATACAGGAAGAGTCAGAATGAAGGTGAAAAGGACAGGAATGGCGGTCGACACCACACACTCCTTGCCGCAGGAGCTGATGTGGGGACCGGGGCAGCGTGTGGACTGCACCCAGCGCCTGCCTATGAGCTGGCTAGGATTTAGTTACGCTCCGGGCCACCTTCGGTGCAAGGCAAATCCAGGAGCGCTGGGGACAGATGAGAAGTCGGCTGAGGACTCAGAGCAAGGAATTCGAGTCCACAAAATCCAAATCCCAAGCAGACCTTCCTTGCTGTCTAATTGGGTTGGTGGGGGGCTCTCTGCAGCCACGCTATTGGACAGCTCTGTGAGGACAGACGACCCACACCCCCCTCGCGGCCTGCTCTGCCGTTGCTCGGACCACACAACCGACGGCAGGGGCAGGCACCTGCCCTGTGGAGGCCGGAGGTCACTGGCCTCCTCTCTCCAGGAAGGAAGGTGGGTGGGACACCTCCAGGACTGGGGGGACTGGGGCTCAGGAAACGGGCTGCACCCCTGGCTCACCACTTTGGGCTTGAATGGCGGCTGGATCTCCCTGTTTTCCAGTTTCTCCCAGTCGATCCTCCGGAAGAAGGCGTGTTCTCGCACGTCCCGTTCCCCCTCGGGCCCGCAGCCCAGACGCTTGCCGGGATGTTTGGTCATCAGCTGGAAAGCAGGGGAGAGGATTTAAGGTACTCCGTGGTGACTACAGTTGGTAATAACGTATTGGACGCTTAAAATTTGCTAAGAGTGGAACTTAAGTGTTCCTCGTCCAGAAAAAGAATAAAGGGTAACTATGTGAGGTGATGGATGTACAAACATGACGGTGGAAATCCTGTCATAATGAACGGTCGTCCCTGGGTATCCACAGGGGACTGGTTCCAGGACCCTGGGGGACACCAAACTTCGAGGATGCGCAAGTCCCTTCGATAAAACAGTGCAGTGTTTGTATACAACCTACGCACATCCTCCTGTAAACTTTAAGTCATCTCTAGATTACTTTAACATCCCATACAATGTAAGCGCTGTGTAAACAGTTGTTACACTATATTGTTTAGGGAACAATGACAAGAAAAAAAGTCTGTATGTGTTCAGTACAGACACAACTAGCGACCATTGTAGACCTAACTACATACTACACATCAGCAACGATGTAACTTTTTTTGCCTGTGTATTTTAGATCTGTGGTTGGTTGAATCCAGGAGTTTAGAACCAATGGTTACGAAGGACCAACTGCATATGTATATCAAATCACCGCGTCGTACACTTTAAATATATTACAATTTTATTTGTCAATTATAACTCACTAAAGCTGGGGGGAAAAAAGAAACAAATAAGCAGAAAATTCGTTCATATATTCCCCAAAACACATGACCCAGAAGGGTCATGGCAGTTCTATTTGTAATGGCCTCAAGCCGAAGAAGAAAGAACCCAAACACCCACCGGCAGTAGACTAGACAAACGAATCGGGTACGTTCACACGATGGAATGCTACGCAGCATTGTGACAGATGGGACTCCAACTGCACACAGCAATATAGAAACATCTCTCCATCATACTGGTCAGGGGAAAAGGGCCAAGGAGCATCCACTGCACAACTCCATTTGTGCAAAGTTCAAAAACAGGCACAACTCATCCGAGCAGCGACAAGGGGGAAGTGACAACAACATGGCCTCGGACGGGGCTTCTAGGGCGCTGGAAACGAGTAGTTACATGGGTGGGTTCATTTTGCGACATGTCTTGGACCTATATGCTGATGATTTGTGTCTATTTACCTACAGTGTACCTCAAACACTGAGAAATGAACAAAGAACTCATCAAGGCATACCCAGCGAGGCGACGGAAGGAAACGGACATTTTCTAAGGGTCTGTGATTACTTCCGGTAACCGGCAATGCAATTCCGTGAGGTGAATCGGAGACTAGGGCATGGTACCATTAGCCGGCGGGGCCTGAGTTCCAGAAAGTTTTGGGGTGTGAATCCATTTTCCGCTGCGCCCTGCGTATCACCAAGCACTAGCCCCCGATGGCCGGAAGCAGTGGCGTGGGTTTGTGATCTTTCCGCCATTTTGATCAGAAGTGTGGGCAAGGTATGTCGACCCTCTTGGTCCGTGATCGCAAAAGGAATCCAAATGTACTTACTCCTTTGCAGATGGAAACGGCCTCCTTGGATAGAGATTTCGGATAAGAAACGTTGTGCTCCATTATAGACTGAAACAACTCGTCTTCATCTTCACCGTCGAATGGGGGCTATTCCGGAAAAGAGAAAGACGACAAAATATTTAGGCAGAGTAATTTATTAACACGGCACCCGAAGATCCGATTCAACACCGAGAAACAGAATGGGTTTCTTGGCACGCTGCAGGCTGCAGAGTTAGCTCAGTTAGCTTTCGGGTTTATTTGATTATCTTTAATTAGGTTGGAGGTTGTGTGATTTCCATTTTTCCTTCTGTCTCTTTAATTATCTTGCCCTGGGCAACTCAAGATAATCTTTAAGAAAAATGTTTTTGAGTAATGCTTTGAATGATTTGCAAATAAATTATAATGAATACATTAATCTTGTGATTATGCGTTCAAAATCTAATTATGATCACGTTAGGTTACAGAGGGCTTTGTTTTCAGAAGGTGGAGCTGGGGGAGGGGTTGCAGAATGTTACTGCCCTTGGGTCCTGAACACGGGGTGAAGGGGACAGCAGAACATGGGCAAAGAGGGCTTGCCCAGGTCCAGGAGTTCACACCAGGGCCCCTGTGACCTAACACAGAGCTGCCACCTGTGTGGTGGCGGTGATGGCGGCTAAGCTTCCACCTCCCTGTCCTCTTCTACCTCCCCATGTAGAGAGTGGGAGGCACGGTGGCACTGTGGGAGGTCACGGCTTTGAAGTCAGGTGGATCTAAACCAGAATTCCAGCTCCGCCACCTCCTAGCTGGGTGTCCACAGGCAAGCAACTCACCTCTTTAAGACACAGTTTTCCAATTTGTAAAATGGGATTCCCTGAGGAGTCTATAAAGTGCCCAATACTCTGTCTTATACGTAGTAAGGGCTCAGTGAAGGGTGCATACTGGTATTGTCTTTTAGGCAGATGAATTTTCATTGCGGGGGCTGCTAGGATCCTCAGGAGAATTTTGTGTGAGCTCGAGCTTTATTCTCCAGCATGTCTTCAACCCTGAGAGGTCTAGCAAATTGCCTGTCACTCTGGTGGGACAACCCACAGGATAAGCGGGCTTGTGGGAAATTTCTTAATGTTCCCCTTTGGCTTAGCTACTCTGGAGCTCAGCACAGGAAAGGCAGAGCGGGGTCAGCCCTCCTGTGGAGAATCCCATGCGTCATCTTGTATTTTTCTTCTCGTGTAAAGGAGGATGCACAGCCACTTTGGTTAGGGTCCAGATAATGACAGGGTCTGGCTTAAATTTAAATTATATCATGGACCGAAGACAACAGTGCCATCATCGGTAGGATATCCCTTCTTATGAAACATTTCCCCCTCAGTAAGAGAGGGCAACTGAATCAAGCAGAGCGTCCCCTACCCCCCACCCCAACCACCAACGCACAAATCATCCCAACCCATTCACGTGGCCTCCAACCTCCATCCTCAGCCCTGAATCAGAGGCGGGCGTGGGGCCAGCACACGGGAGCCACGCCCAGCAGAGGGAAAGATGCTGAGTATATGAAGAACGCTCCCTTGGGACCAGGTGTGGGAGAACAGGGAGGAGGGGTGGTGACTGATGCCACTCACTTTAATTTTTGGTCTAAAAATATAAATAAACGGGCCTCTTTTCCGGTTGTAAGAGCCTGGTGTTAAGAATGTCTAATTCGGTGGAAGCATGAAGGTGGGTGAGGAGGACAAAATTAGCCTCCTGTGAATGACTCAGAGCAGGAGCAGTGTGTGTGTGGTGAGTTTCTGTGGGCAGAAGGAACATGGGGCTTGGGATGCCCGCAAGGCAAGTCAGCTGGAGGCAGACACCCTGCTGGGGGCTACAGGCTGCAGATAGATGGTCACTGGGGTCAGCAGGGGACGATCCATTAGTACCTACAGAGAGCGGAGCAGGACAGGCTGGGGCGTGGGTGTGGCGGTGCCTGGCCAAGAGCGACGGTGTGGCCTGACCTCCTGTCCATCTCTCCACGGCTCCTCTGCCTGATCCCACGCAACCGCCCCCTTCTGGACGCCTGTTCCATAGCACCCGCAGAAACGTCTTCCCTAATTCGAGATCTATACACATGGCTGAGTTCCGGCCGAGGACATTTTCGTAACTAAAACAAACACGGCATGGTTTCTGCTCAGGGCTGTGAACCGCACACCTCCAGGGGGCTCCATTCACCATGAATTCGCTGTGTGTACATACTCTGCAGTGTCCTCGTGACCTGGAGGTGAGCAAGGCACAGGGTCTGCTGCTGGGTCACCAATGGGCAACTCACAGCCTGGCCCCTTGGGGCCGCCAGTCAGGATGGGCTACATCATTCGTGGGTCTCAGTGCAAAATAAACATGTGAGGCCTCTTATGAGATAATTATTAAGGAGTTCGAGACGGCAAGAGCAGAGCACTAAACCAAAGGAGCAGGTCGCTTCTGAGCTTGGGCCCTGTGCGACTGTGAAGCTGGCCAAATGTGGCTGGCTGGTGTCTTTCGCTCAACGGTGACAAAGGCTCCAGGGAGACTCAACCAGCCTCTTGGCTGATGCTCAGGAATGCTACATGGGCTGCGTCACAGGTAATCCAAGCCAAACGTCTAAGAGAAACTTTCTCCAAAGAGAAATTCAAGTGCGTGCTCCCAGGAATCCTTCTCCAGCGAGGGGAAGGCCCCCCTCATTTGAAGGCCATTAGGTCAGCGCAGCTGCAGCCCCTGTTCCCCTAACATGGACGCCAGGAAGTGTTTGGGGGATGTTCTGGGCAGGGCGCTGGCCTCTGACACCTGCTTAATGCTTTTCAGCTTCGCTCAGGTGAGCATCCTTCCGCACATGGCTAATTTCTGAAACGGAGACTGCCGTGTCGGGGATCAGGCCTTGTCCCCTGCGCGTGGAAGTCTTCACCAGGAAGCACCCCTGCATCCCTCCAAGGGCAGGGTATCCGGCCCCCTGCACACCCCTGAGAGTGCTCCTCAGAACGTTAACCCGACAAGGTATTCCTGGGTCCAAGTTCGCATCCTACGTCCCTTGTGCAGGTGTGCACTGACATTTTGAAGGGCCTGAGAAGTCCCGTATTAAAGAACGCTGTTTAACGCAATGCGCATCATTACAGTCTGGGGTTGGAAGGGTCCTCGGAGGCCCCCCAGGCTCGTCCATTGCAGTAAGATTCCCAAACTATAAAGAAAGCCACGAGGCAACATGTCGCTGTGGCAGAGCCTCGGGGTTTCACCCTGTGTCCCAGCCCTGTGTGGCCCCAAGGACTGGACCTTCTCCTGCTGGCTCATCTCGGGGAGGACAGATGCCCGTACCCCTGAAGACGTGCTGTCGCCCACTGTGGCTCTACATCGCCCGACACAGAAGCACAGCCAGCACTCGGGAGAGAGCAGCGGCGATGGCGACAGCAGCTGCAGCCACACTGACCTCCTGGCTCCTGCTTCTCCTCCGCGCCATGCAGCCCGTGGAGTGCTTTGTCGGCGGCACTCCCTCGGCCCTCACAGCGACCATGTGACGTGCGTATCATCGATCTCATTTTGCAATTGCGGTCCCTGAGGTTCCAGGAAGCGCTCTAGCCAGGGTCACGGAGCGGGGTTCAAGTCCGGGCAGCCTGACTTCGGAGCCTGGGCTCTTAGCCCTTCTGAGCAACGCCACTTCCCCGGCTCGTCCCAGTACTCAGAGTGGGCAGGGTGACCCCCGGCACTGCAGCTCGGCAGCTGGTGCACCCCGCACGTGAAGACGGCTCGGCCGCTCGGGAAGACGGTCGCGGTGCTCTGTAAGAGGCTGGTTCACGTCCTACGCGGTGGGCGGTGGTGAATTCTGAAAATCAAAGGGGGCAGGGGAACAGGCGCCAAGGCCTGAGATGTGTTAAGTCATCTTGTGGAGAGGGACCGCCTCTCGGTGCGAGACCCGCCACGGTGCTTATCTTTGCTGATGCCACACGTCCACTGAGGGTCAGCAGAGGTCACCCAGGGACCCACCTGGTGGAGCAGCCACCATCTTGGTTGTGTTGTTGGGGGGCTGGGACAGGACCTCTGGGGTGTTTTGGTCCAGCTCTCAGGTGCTCCACTGGGGAGCACATCCACCTAGATGTCATGGGTCGGAATTAGTCCCGTGCCCCACCCGATCACGAAGGAACTGGGAGGTGCAATCCCATATGAGCCAGGAGGGAGGAAGACCCCAAATGCCTGGTGAACAGCAACAGTGACCGCCACGTTCAGAAAAGCTCCCTGAAGCCCTAAATTAAAATCAGGTATTCTTGGGAGAGGAACGAAAGCAGCATCCACATTTCCTGTAACTAAGAGCAAACATGCTCTTATTTTTTCTGTGGACCCTGTGGCTTTTCATATTATTTTCGAATGATGCCTAATTTGGAATTCTTGGCTTTTCACTCACTGCTGCAAATACGTTTTCTCTGTAGCCACCAGGGTACCTAGTCTGATTAATGCCGCCGAGGTGATCCATCATCAGAGACTGACTGACTCATTTATCCGTGGGTACATTTATAATCGCTTCCAGCACTATATTCTAACAATGGAGGCTGCTCTGAACATCTCCGTGCACAGTGTTTGTTCCTTCTCCGAATTACTTCCTAGAATCATTTCCCAGGTGCGAGATTACGTGTCCAGATCACCCCTGGAACATTCTTCCAGGTGACTGCGTGCTCTCAGGCTTTGGTGCTGGAGGCAAGGCAATGGTGGAAAGTTATAATTACATTCATTTTCCTCTCACGCACACCAGCCACTGAGCCTGGGGACAATAGAGGGTCATGTGTTGCCGAGGTACCTAGCACATGACCGTTTTGGATTGCTTCTCTCCCCTCTTTCCCCCATTCCCATGATGATCTTTTAAATTTCTACAGATCTGGACTTAGTATTTCCAGCTAAACTACCTGTTAACTAAAAAGTCTTGGCTCGGTGGAACAGTTTTCTGAACGGAACCGGGGTGACCTCCTTGGAATGTAACTTACGAATTCTAAACGGGCAAACGAGAGATGATGGTTCATTCTTTCCAAAATGATTCCGCAGTCACTTACTAGTAAGTGGTCACTGGAACCATGCCACGTGCATCTGCAGATCGCAGATGACCAGGGTTGGGGGAGCGGGGAGCGCCCAAGGACAATTCAGGCTCAAGTCCTGGGATAAAGTGCTCATTACTGATTCACCAGGAATGAAGACAAAGCATTAATAACGCTGTCAGAAAGAGATACAAAGAGAGGGCTGGTCCCTTTATGATGACAACCCGCGACTGCTTCGCGCCACAATAGGCTCATTAGTGTGCTGGGTAAATACTATTTATGCCCCGAAGTGATCATATTTGTCAAGCAATCCAGAAACTGAAGACTCAGGCTGTTTACACTTAGCTGTCCCCTTGGCTGCTGACAATAAATAAAGCAAATGAGAAGAAAATTGCAATAAACCATTTGTTTTTCCTGCTCATCTTTAGCCCTCTTGATTAAAGAAGACAAATTTAGACCACGACCACATCAACAACTTTATAATTAGTCTTACTTTTCAGTAAGAGCCTCTATTCCCTCTGCTGGGTATCTGAGGTTCCTGCAGCTTTGGAGGTGGGGGCAATGCATGCAGGGCCTTTATTATCCTTTTTGGGCTGAGTCATAGCTCAGGAATATGTTCAAATTTGCATTGAGTCAGAGAGGAAAACTAAGACGGGGCGTCTGAAACGAAACCCTGTGTCTGTGGCAGATGCAGTGAGGATTTCGAGAACAACCGGCTGTGCCTGCCGTTGCCCCTGAATGTGGGATGCCTTTAAGGTGTCATATTCAAAGAGTGTCGCCATTTTCCATAGAGATTATGAAAACTTCAGGAGATTATATAAGACGGGCTGATCGACTCCGAGAAACAGGAGAAAACATAATGAAAATGTGCCGGCATGTCTATGAAGCCACTGGGTATGGGAGGGACCTGCCATAAGGAAGGTAAATGTTCAAGTCGTGGGCCTCGGGACCAGTTCAAATGAGGCGGGACTTCAACATGCATCCTGAAGGGGACTTCCCTGCAGGAGTGAGGGCATTCCCTGAGCTCTCCTCTATGGGAGAAGGATCCAGGAAGCTTGACTAGGAAGCAAAAAGGGGGTGGGGTGGGGTGGGGTGGGGGACTTTGCTTCAGGCCTGGCTTCTGAAATTCTAGTCTCTTGCTGGCCAATAGAGAGACAGCGCATTTCATCTCTTGTAAAGCGCCTGTTGGAAAGCGATCCTATTTCCGCCCAACCAATTTCCTTTGTTGGCATATGCAAATGGGATGCTTAATGAAAGCAGGGTTTGTTTTCTGGGCTCCAGAGTCAGAACATTCAAGAAGGGATCCAGGAGGGGAGCTCAGCTTTTTGTGCCTTCCTGAACGGCGAGGCTCCCACGGAGCCGATAATTCAGTCAAATTTTATTGTCAAAATTCTAAAGAGGGGGAAATTAACTGAAGGAGCAGGGAACTTGTGTTTTGCCAGCTGTGGTCTTCCTGACAGTTGTTCTGTATAAACCTGCTTTTCTGCCTTTACAAATGGAGGTATTTGGCCTAAGACGAACATTTTGTTGGGTGGAAAAGACGGAATAAATTATACACAAACCACTTTTCACATATAATTCAAGACTTACTATCACTGAGAAATAATGACCAAATGTAGGCTAAGTGGCTTGCTTGAAAGTCCCTGGGCTGGTTAGAGGCAAGGTCTATGCCTTATGTCTTTTATCATTTAAAAGACTACCTCGGTATATAAAAGACATAAGATACAATGAAAGGTATAGAGGAGAACTCATCAGTGGCTTCCCACCCCGGAATGAAAGCCAACGGTCTGGTGACGATCTTCATGCCCC